AATTCAGCAAAGTTTCCAGATACAAAATTAAGGTACACGAATCAGTAGCTCTTCTATATACCAACAGCAACCAAGCTGGGAAATCAAGAACTCAACCCCTTTAAGCAGCAAAAAATAAAATAAAATACTCCTCCTAATGAAGAAGTCGAAAGACCACTACAAGGAAAGCTACAAAACACTGCTAAAAGAAACCAAACAAATGGAAATGCATCCCATGCTCATGGATGCGCAGAATCAATATTGGGAAAATGACCACACTGCCAAAAGCAATCTACAAATTCTAGGCAATTCCCATCAAAATAGCACCATCGTTCTTCTCCACAGACATAAAAGAAAACAATTCTAAAATTCATATGAAACCAAAAAGACCCTGCATAGCCAAAGCAAGACTAAACAAAAAAACAAATATGTAGGCATCACATTACCTGATTTCAAACTATACCCTAAGGCCACAGTCACCAAAACAGCGTGGTACTGGTATAAAAATAGGCACGTAGACCAATGGAACAGAACAGAGAGCCCAAAATAAACCCAAATACTTACAGCCAACTGATCTTCAACAAAACAAACAAAAACATAAAGTGGGGAGCACTTTTCAGCAAATAGTGCTGGGATACTAGGCTAGCCACACGTAGGAGAATGAAACTTAATTCTGATCTCTCACCTTATACAAAAATCAACTCAAGATGGATTAAGGACTTAAATCCAAGACCTGAAACTATAAAAATTCTAGAATAGAACATTGGAAAAACCCTTCTAGACATTGGCTTAGGCAAGGATTTCATGACCAAAAACAACTGCAATAAAAACAAAGATAATGTGCTGAGACCTAATTAAAGTAAAGAGCTTTTGCACAGCAAAAGGAACAGTCAGCAGCGTAAACAGAAACTCACAGAGTTGGAGAAAATCTTCACAATCTATATGTCTGACAAAGAACATCCAGAATCAACAATGAACTCAAACAAATCAGTAAGAAAAAAGCAAATCAATCCCACCAAAATGTGGGCTAAGGACATGACAATTCTCAAAAGAATAGACAATTTTCTAAAGAAAATATACAAATGGCCAACAAACATATGAAAAAATGCTCAACATCACTAATGATCAGTGAAATGCAAATCAAAACCACAATGCAATACCACCATACTCCTGCAAAAATGGTCATAATCAAAGAATCGCAAAACAGCAGATGTTGGCATGGATGCAGCGATTGGGGAACACTTCTACACTGCTGGTGGGAATGTAAACTAGTATGGCTGCTATGGAAAACAATGTAGAGATTCCTTAAAAAAACTAAAAGTAGAACTACCATTTGATTCGGCAATCTCACTACTGGGTATCTACCCTGAGAAAAAGAAATCATTATTCGAAAACGATACTTGCACATGCATGTTTATAGCAGCAATATTCACAACAGCAAAATCATGGAACCAACCCAAATGCCTATCAATCAACAAGTGAATATATATGATGGAATACTACTCGGCCATAAATAGGAATGAATTAACAGCATTTGCAATGACCTGGGTGAGATTAGAGACTATTATTCTAAGTAAAGTAACTAAGGAATGGAAAACCAAACATCATATGCTCTCGTCGATGTGTGGGAGCTAAGCTATGAGGACACAAAGGCTTAAGACTGATACAACAGGTCAGGCACAATGGCTCACACCTGGAATCCCAGCACTTTGGGAGGCCGAGGCAGGCAGATCACGAGGTCAAGAGATCAAAACCATCCTGCCCAACACGGTGAAACCCCATCTCTACTAAAAATACAAAAATTAGCTGGGTATGGTGGTATGTGCCTGTAGTCCCAGCTACTCAGGAGGCTGAGGCAGGAGAATCACTTGAACCTGGGAGGCAGAGGTTGCAGTGAGCCAAGATAGCACCACTGCACTCCAGCCTAGCAACAGAATGAGACTCTGTCTCAAAAATAAATAAATAAATAAATAAAAGAATGATACAATGGACATTGGGGAGTTGAGAGGGGAAGTAGGGTGAGGGATAAAAAAGACAACAAATACGGTTCAGTGTATATGCTTGGGTGATGGGTGCACCAGGTTCTCACAAATCTCCACTAAAGAACTTATTCATGTAACCAAATACCACCTGTACCCCAATAACTTATGAAAAAATAATATTAAAAAAATAAAAATGAATCAGGGAATGTCTATGCTGAAAGTTGTAAATACTAAATAACTCCTATGAAAATTGAAAAAAAAAAAGAATATTGTACCAAGAAAAATTAGATAAGAGAAAGAAATAATAGGCATCCAAAGGAAAAAGTTATGTCATCTGTTTGCAGACAACATAATCTTTCATGGAGTAAAACCTGAAAGACTCTGGCAGAAGCTGTTAGAACAAATAAACAAATTCAGTAATTTTGCAGGATACAAAATTAACATGCAAAAATCAGTAGCATTTCCATACTGTCCAATAAATAAATTTTAAAAAAAAATTCATTAACAATAGCTACCAAGAAAAGCAAATACTTAGAAATAAATTTGACCAAAGAAGTACAGACTCTATACTATACTGTGAAAACTATAAAACACTGATGAAAGAAATGAGAGAAGACACAATTAAATGGAAAGATATCCTAACTTTA